CAAGTTAGACAAAGGAGAGCCAGTGGATGTGATCTATTTGGATTTCCAAAAGACCTTTGATAAGGTGCTGCACAGGAGGCTGCTAAATAAGATAAGAGCCCATGGTGTTAGGGCAAGGTACTGGCATGGATAGAGGATTGGCTGACTGGCAGAAGGCAGAGGGTGGGGATAAAGGGGTCTTTTTGAGGATGGCAGTCAGTGGAGTTCTGTTGTGTCCATGTTGGGACCACAACTATTCACATTATACATTATCGATCTGGGCGAAGGAACTGAGAGCATTGTTGCTAGGTTTGTAGATGACACAAAGATGGATTGAGTGTTAGGTAGCATTGAGGAAGAGGGGAGGCTGCAGAAGGAGTTGGCCAGGCTAGGAGAGTGAGGAAAGAAGCAGCAGATGGAATACAATGTGGGAAGGTGTGAGGTTATGTAAGCATAGACAATTTTCTAAATCAGGAAAGGCTTTTGAAATCTGAAGCACAAAGGGGCTTAGGAATCACAGTTCAGGATTCTCTTCAGGTTAACATACAGTTTCAGTTGGCAGTTCGGAAGGCAAATGCGAAGTTTGCATTCATTTCAAGAGGGTTAGAATTTTGGAAAAGCAAACAAGGGCAGGACTTATACAATTAATGGTAGGGCCTCAGGTAGTGTTGTAGAACACAGAGACCCAGGGGTTCAGGTACATAATTCTTTGAAATTTGCTTCACAGGTAGAAATGATGGTTAAAAAGGTGTTTAACACATTTGCCTTCATTGCTCAGACCACTGAGTATAGGAGTTGGGATGCCATATTGAGGACATTGGTGAATCCTCTGTACTGAGTACTGTGTACAGTTCTGATCACCCTGCTACAGGAAGGATATTATTAAATTAGAGAGGGTTTAGAAAAGATCTAACAGGATGTTGCCAAGGATGGAGGGCTTGAGTTATAAGAATAAGTTGGATAAGCTAGGACTCCTTTCATAGGAGGTTTATAAAATCATGAGGGGCATTGATAAGGTAAATAGCAAAGGTCTTTTCCCAAGAGTAGGGGATTTCAAGACTAGAGGCTTATGTTTAAGGTGAAAGTAAAAAGTTTGAAAAAGGACATGGAGGGCAACTTTTTATACAGAGAGTGGTTCGCGCGTGGACTGAACTGCCAAAGAAAGTGGTAGATGCAGGTTCAGTTACAATATTTAAAAGACATTTGGATAAGTACATGAACAGGAAAGCTTTAGAGCGAAACGCGCCAACTGTACGCAGGTGGGGCTGGTTTAGTTTGGGAACATGGGTTAGCATGGACTGTTTGGACCGAAAGGTCTGTTTCTGTGCTGTACGACTCTATGATGCAATGTTCTGCTGAGGGTATATAAGGCTCTGGTCAGACTGCATTTGAAATACTGTGAGCAGTTTTGGGCCGAGTATCTAAGGAAGGATGTGCTGGCATTGGAGGGGATCCTGAGGAGGTTTACAAGAATTGATCCCAGGAGGTTACAGAGGTAGGGAAGGGTGAAGGGGCTGGAGGAGGTGACAGAGATAGGGAGGGATGTAGGGGCTGGAGGAGGTTAGAGAGATAGGGTGGGGCTGGAGGAGGTGACCGGGATAGAGAGGGGCTGGAGGAGGTGACAGAGATAGGGAGGGGGCGTAGGGGCTGGAAGAGGTGACAGAGATAGGGAGGGCTGGAGGAGGTGACAGAGATACTTAGGGGTATAGGGGCTGGAGGAGGTTAGAGAGATAGGGATGGGGTGTAGGGGCTGGAGGAGGTGACAGAGATACTTAGGGGTATAGGGGCTGGAGGAGGTTAGAGAGATAGGGATGGGGTGTAGGGGCTGGAGGAGGTGACAGAGATACTTAGGGGTATAGGGGCTGGAGGAGGTTAGAGAGATAGGGATGGGGTGTAGGGGCTGGAGGAGGTGACAGAGATACTTAGGGGTATAGGGGCTGGAGGAGGTTAGAGAGATAGGGATGGGGTGTAGGGGCTGGAGG